GAGCCTTCGTCTGTTTTTCTTTTTTTCTTTTTAATAAAATATATATGTGATTAGCAATATTATAAAAACAAAATATTGCCAACTTGTGCAGTCGTGCAATGCAAGAAAGAAACTATAATTCATTTTCTTTGTTCACGCCTAGCACGCGTTTATATTCCATTTCATAATTTGTCAGCGTTTTCTTTCTTTTATTTTGACAAGTTTAGTGATGCAATTACGTGTATATAATACACAACACACACACTTTAATTTAATCTTATTCTTTGAAACGGAAAAAAGGCCATCAGTTGACGACTACGTACCAAATAGTAAATACTATTGACGCTTTTGACTCCTTAACGGCACTGCCGCACTACCATGCCACATACTATGGCAAAGTAAACAATATTTTTCTCATTATGTGTGTGTGTGTATATATGTATATAATTGTTATATATGCACACATATAAGCTAGTCGTATCAGATTACTCAAAAAAATTAAATTGAATAATTTTTTTTGTTTATAATCATAATATGAATAAATCTCGTACGATGTTTCTGTTATTTGACAATAAATTAACTAAAAGTTTTGCACTATCTTTCTTATAAATCTTACAAAAGTATAAATTACAAATACATATTTTATCTATTCAAAATTATATTCTCTCTGTTAAAAAATATAAGGCATTTTTAATCGATTATCATCCTCCAATAAAGTAGTTACTAACTTTTAAATTCATCCCATCTTTTTATATTTACTTATGTTAAATACTTTATAATAAATATAAAATCATTCATCAATATGAGTATTTTTTTAAAAAAAATAATGATTGTCCCTTAAAAGATTACAAATACATTACATTTTTTAATATCTAACTTTTCAAAAAATGTCTTATATTTTTAAACGGAGGAGTAAGATATTTTAACTAACCTTCACTTTAAGAAAACAGTTAACGTAATTGAAAATTAACAACTCTTTTTATATTAACAATTATTTAATAGGTAACTTAATGACAAATAATATAAAAGTTTTATTAATTTTAAATATTCTTTAAAGGTGTTTTTTTAAAAACATTAATTACTTATAGAAACCCTAACATATCTAATATTTTAAACATGATATTTTTTTAAAAAATAGGGAAAATATCATTAAGCACACTGTAGCGTTTTAATGTTAAAGAAAAATTCTAAAAATCTGAACTATCATTGCACCGGTGGGGCCTATTTGAAATAAGATTTTTGGAGATATACCTAATTATCCTTGCAGTGTTGTGCAAGTTTTGCTCCCATATAAATAATTCAGCATTTAGCTATTAATATGTTACCATACATAACTAATAGGATTAATGAGCAAAATAGATTTTAAAGTATTGCCTAAAAAGCATCTTCAATTTTGAACTCTTAAAATATGTAAAATAAATTTTAAACTTTTAAATTTATAGTAAAATGAATCCTAACAATTAAATTTTTTAACATCATTTCTGTTCACGCGGGTACTGTTTACGGTGGGCCCTAGTCAATGCCGACATGTCATTACGAATTAACACCATAAACCTTAAACTATTATTTTAGTGGTGTTTTGAACCCTGAATTATTATGTTAGTAATGTTTTAGACCTAAACTTTGAAATTTTGAACAAATTATCTCCATCATTTATATATAAAACATTGACTATTATATAGACTAAATTAGTCTCAACATGGTTTACCACGGTGAATGCATAATTGGCCATAACGAACGACTTATAATTTTGTGAAATGACATTTTTTGCTTTTTTGTAATGTTTTTCAAACGATTGGTATCTCATATTACCATATACTCTATAACTCTAATTTAATATTATTTTAAATAATATTTATTTATTTAATGATAAAAACTTGGGATCCCTTTGAAAAGAAGTTCAAATATTAGATAATTTTAATTAATCGATTAATTTGAGTTTTAAATTTGTTGATGAAATCATCAACTTTCACATCCATTGTTCGTAAAATCCTACGAAACTTAAACTTCTTTTCAAATAGGATCCCAAATTTTCACCATTAAATAAATAAAAATTATTCAAAATAGGACTAAATTAGAGTTATAGAGTATATGGAAGCATGAGATGTCAATTGTTTGGAAAATGTTGCAAAAAAGGGGCAAAAAATGTCATTTCATAAAATTATAGATTGTTCGCCATGGTCAACAATGTATTCATTGCGGTGAACAATGCTGAGGCGAATTTGGTCTATGTGATTGTCAACATTCTATACATAAACGGTGGGAGGTAATTTGTTCAAAATTTCAAAGTTTAGGGTTTAAAACACTATTAACATAATAGTTCAACGTTCAGAATGTTACTAACATAATAATTTAGAGTCTATGATGCTAATTCACAATGATACGTCAACAATAATTAGGGCCCATGGTGAACAGTACCCCTACGTGAACAGTAATACCATTAAAAAATTTAACAGTTAGGGTTTATTTTGCTATAAATTTATACGTTTGGGGTTTATTTTACACATTTTAAAAGTTCAGGGTTTAAAGCATTTTTCAAACAATACTTTAGAGTTTATTTTACTCATTAACCATACTTAATGAAGGGACATTTATTCATAAGCAAGTTACAAAAATTAATAGGTTTGGTTAATTTTTACAAGTTTTGCTCCATTACAAATAATAAATCATTTGATTATGGACAAGTTATTATATGTAATTAACAAGTAGACATTCATTACCATTCAGCTATAAACAAAAAACTAGATCTATAATTTTTTTACAACTTGTTAATGAACAAATTCCTACTTATTAATTAGTATGATAACTTATCAATAACCAAATAATTTGTTGTTTATATTGGAGCAAGACAAGTAAAATGTCCCATGAGTAACTATGTCTTTTCTCCTAAAATTTTATTTTTAAATGTGTCTTAAGGGTGCAGTGATATTTCAATTTTTAGGGGTTTTTTTATTTTAAAATATTACAGGAATTCTTTAATGTTATGTTTGGATGCATAGGGACTTGGATTTGGATTTGAGCTAAATCCATTGTTTAGGTGATAAACAATGTAGGAATTTGGATTTGGAGTCCAAATCCTACCTTAATCTCTTTACAATTTGAAATTATTTTTAAACTCTTATTATTTCAAATGCTATATCAATTTCTTTGTAATTTGACTGGCCCATTGGTGGCATTGAATAAGACCAATTGTCAACAGCAACTAGGACCAAATTATTGCCTCCACCGATTAGGAACAAGTTGTTGCCACCAACTAGGACGAGGTGATCAACGCCAATTGGAATCGAACGGTTGACTTCCATCATAATTGAACTAACAGTGCCAACCTAGACTAGATCGTCGGCATCGATCAAGACAAAACTACTAACGTCGATCGAGACCCAACAGCAAGCTACAACCAAGATTGGATTGCTGATGTTGGCCTGGATTGGAGTGCAGGTGAGTAGGTGACTACTTAGACCTGACTGCTGGCACTAACAGGGGCAAGACCACTAGCACCAACTAGGACAAAACTGCAAGCGCCAACCGGGACTAAACAGCTGCTTGTGACTATGATCTAAGGGCCGACTGCCACCGTGATTGGGATCGCATTGACAACCTTAATCGAGAACAAACCATTGATGGTTTGATCTTGGTCAATGCCAACAGTCCTGTCTCGATCATCACTGGTCCAATTTGGACCGAAGTCATCAAACCCAATCATGATGGGATTCAGCGATTTAATCACGATCATGGGCAATTTTCCAATCTCGGTAGGCACTGGCGGTCCTGTTGTGGTCGTCACTGGCAGTCCTATCTCAGTCGATGTCGTTAGTTATGTCTTAATGGAAGTCAGTCGTTTAGTCTCGGTCATCACTTACACTCCAGTCCTGGTCGGTGGTTAGCCCTTAATCGATGTTGGTGTCTAATCTTAGTGAAAGTTGGCTGTCTGGTTCTAATCATCAGCAGTGGTATGGTACCAATGAAAGTCCATCGTTCGATCTTGGTAAGTGCTAGCAGTCTGATTTTGGTGAAAGTTAGCTGTCTAGACCACCTACTTTGACTACGATCGAATTGCTAATGTTGTTCAAGTTACTTTGAAATTTAAACATAGAATTTAAAATTTAGAATTTTACTTAAGATTTAAATAAAGAATTTTAATATTATAATTTAAAATTTTTTATATAATTCAAACACAAAATTTACAATTTATAAATTTTAAATGTGAGATTTTAAATTTAAATTTTTAACTCAAATTTATCCATTTAAATACAACTTAAATGTATTTTTCCTAAAAATTATCTTGTAGTTTTGAATTGAATCCAAATTATACATATTTTTGTCCAAAAATGAAGGTATGAAAAAGTTGAAAACTCACATTCCACGAAGTCTCCAAGAAATGCACGGAGAAAAGGACGAACACCCAGAAGCTGTACTTTGCCTCCTCGTTCGCGATTGCGCGAGAAAATGGTCAAGAGAACGAAAATCTATGGTTGGTTAGTGAATCCCAAGTGTCTCAATTAAAAAGAGAAAGGGAAAATTTACCTAAAAAAGAAAATGAAAAAATATTTTTGAATTCGATGTGAATTTTTTTTTTTGCAAGACAAAAATTGATGTGAATGGACAGATAAATCTCTTTAAAATTAAAAAATAATAGTTTGATTTGTGAAATGTGATAATAACAATTAAGTTTTAAAAGACTTTTTTAATATTAAATTTTTATATAAAATTATTTTAATAATTATCCATAATTAATTTTATATTATTTATAAGTTAGATATAAATATTTATAAATTTAATTCCACCAATATTTAAAATAATCAAAAAAAAATCATAATTTTTTAAATTATAGAGTGGTATTAAAATAATTGTACATAAAAATTTAATCTCAAAGCTTAAACCTTACTATAATTATCATATTTCATAAAATTAAATAGATTTATATGTCATTCTCTGTTGAATCAATGTATGATCTATTTCCAAGTTGGCAAACATTGTTGAAGACTTGAAGCAATGGTTCCGTATAAGATGAAGCCCCACATTGGATTGCAGGAGCTATGCGTTAAGGCTCTTTACTCGCGCACGCACCTGACGTACAACTTTCCCGAAGGGAGGAAGAAGAAGAAGAGGATCCCACCTTTCTCATTTTCCTTTTTTTCTTCATCTTCTCGTTGTTTCACACAAATCTCATTTGCTACAATCTCTGGTAGATGGAGTATCAGTTCGTTCTGGGAGGGATTCTAGCTTCGTGTTTGGTGATTGTATTTTTACTGTGCGGATTTGCCCAGAAGAAGAAATTCTCGGGCTCAAGAGGGATAAACAGTAGCTCGTTTGCACAGATCTCAGAAAATGGAAAATGCGAACCAGAGGATGCCGGAGATGCAGAAATAATCATCGTGGGTGCTGGTGTTGCTGGGGCGGCTCTTGCTTGCACGCTTGGGAAGGTGAGAATGTTACTTATTTTGTCCTTATAAGATCCCCATGCCCTCCATCTGTATGATGATTTTCCTCGCTTGTAATTTGTACAAGTTTGAAATCATACATCTGTCCTTGTTTTGGATGTTCCTAGCGAAAATATGCTGATAAATTGTGAATAGTTTGTTTTGGGTTTTAGGGAAAGCTTCAAAGGCTTGAAAGAAAAGAGAAGAAATATTTTTCACTGGTATTTTTCGATGAATTTCCGGGGGCAAACCAGGAAAGGCATACACAAAATAGAAAACACAGCTAGTGCTTTATTTTTATTTTTGTCAATGATTAGTGTCATTATCTTTCTTTTTCTTTCTCATTTTATTTTCAATCATCCGATGAAAGCAACAAAAATTGTGAAATTCTTGTATTTCTTCGTAGCCAAATCTGTATTCTCACTGGATTTGGAAAATCACCAAAAAAAAAAAAAAAAACACCAATCTCTCACTCTCAGACTTTTGCCGAAACTTTTTCTTTGCCATTAAACCATCAATCAGATGAAGAGCAAAAGAAATTTGTGAAATGTCTTGTATTTATTTTTCTCCGAAGTCTCTATACTCACCGGATTGCCCTAGATGCTGCCTCGTTAGAATCTGTAAAATCAGTCGATCAGAGCATGACATGACAATCTGTAAGAAGTCTGGTATTTCTTTCTTTCCAAAATCTGTTTGTGAGACCCTCGAGATTAGGGAAGTAACAGATAGCGACCGAACTCTAATCCTTTTACCATCAATCAATCAAAGAAAGCAACAAAGTCAGTGAAAATTTTTGTATTTCTTTCGTTCGTACACTGTCTGTGGCACTCACAAGAGAAGGTAATTAACAAAAATCAACCGGAGTATGACTCACAAAATCTTTGCAATTTTTCATCCAGATTCAGTTCAGATGTGTGATTATTTTGTGTCCCTGAACTTCTGTTGCATGGAGGCATGGAGCTGTGATAGCTGCTAATGATTTTGCTTTATGCTTCTTATTGCAGGATGGACGAAAAGTGCATGTTATTGAAAGGGACTTGAGTGAGCCTGATAGAATCGTGGGTGAACTGCTACAGCCTGGAGGGTATTTGAAGTTAGTTGAGTTGGGTCTTGAGGGTAAGCAAAATCTGAAAGATCTTGGTAATTTAGATCTTTTGGCAGATGAATAATGTTACTAAGTTGTGACAGATTGTGTGGAGAAAATTGACGCTCAGAGGGTCTATGGCTATGCTCTCTATAAGGATGGGAAAAATACCAAACTATCATATCCTTTGGAAAAATTTGACTCTGATGTTTCTGGGAGGAGCTTTCACCATGGGCGTTTCATACAGAGAATGCGAGAAAAGGCTGCATTTTTCTCAAAGTACTTTTTTCTTTTCACTTCAGACTTCTTTTTTCGTTTAACTGTTTCTGTTTCTAAAACTTTGAGAATTACTGTGGAGTTCAAAATATATATATTTTAAGTTGTTTTGAAATCCTTCATTTTTTTGGGTGACCGAAATTCTTCATTCACATCATGTTATCTCCAATATTTCTGCAGCGTGAAATTAGAACAAGGAACAGTTACATCTCTGATTGAAGAAAATGGAATCGTCAAAGGGGTGCACTACAAAACCAAGGATGGACAAGAGCTCACAGCGAAGGCTCCCCTCACCATAGTCTGTGATGGTTGCTTTTCCAACTTGAGGCGTTCTCTTTGCAACCCAAAGGTAAATATACTTGGCTTCTTTCCCGGTCATACAGAGATGTTTATCTTCCAAGTACAGATGCTAAAACAAAAAATGGACAGAGCTCTATAAAATATGAATTGAATTTATGAAACCTTGAAGAGTTATGATGTGTCTAATATGAATGGTCAGATACACGTTGAAGATAGACACAACTCGATTTTATTTTATTTTTTTGAAGTTTTTTGTGCTTCATTATTGATTTTCACTCTTTGTATTGCAATATTTATCGCCCTTTGTTGCTTAATTGTTTTTTGACCGCTTAATTGTTTTTGACCAGCCCCTTTGTTGCTTAATTGACATAACTATTTCCCCAGGTTGATGTACCATCTCATTTTGTCGGTCTTGCCCTGGAGAATTGCGATCTTCCATATTCAAATCATGGGCATGTTATCTTAGGCGATCCTTCACCCATTTTATTCTATCCCATCAGCAGCACTGAGATTCGCTGTTTGGTTGATGTGCCTGGCCAAAAAGTACCTTCTATTGCCAATGGTGAAATGGCCACATATTTGAAATCTGTCGTAGCTCCTCAGGTGCCAATATCATAGCTCACTCTTCTTTATTATCAGTTGTTTTAAACGATGAACATTCTTAGAGATTCAAGCTATTTGCTAGATAACCTTTATGCAATAAAGGACATTGTATGGTTTCAGGTTCCACCAGAGCTGTATAATTCTTTTCTAGCAGCCATTGATAAGGGTAAGATAAGAACCATGCCAAACAGAAGCATGCCTGCCTATCCTTATCCCACACCTGGCGCCCTTCTGATGGGAGATGCATTTAATATGCGTCACCCTTTAACGGGAGGAGGAATGACTGTAGCACTGTCTGACATTGTTGTGCTGAGGAATCTCCTTAAACCACTTCGTAACTTGCATGATGCTTCTGCTCTTTGCAAGTATCTTGAATCATTCTACACTCTGCGCAAGGTAAAAGTGATATAGATAAGAATCCTTCTTGGTTTCACTCACAAGGCATAACATGGCACAGAAAAACACCTTATTGCAAAGTAAATATGATATGAAGCTTCTGGATGACTGTTTCTTTAATATTAGTGTTTAAGTAAACCATATTTTGTGGCTACCAATGCGTTGTTTGGGACTTGTTCCAATGCTTAGAAGCATGGCACAGATAGTCAGATAATAGATACGCCAAACATGGCTCTGCAACACTATATAATATGATATGCTCATGTAGAAAAATAAAATTAAATAAAAATCATTCTTAGTTTTTTCACTCTCCAAATACCACAAGGAGACCAACAATTATGCGAGGTAAATATGATATTAAGCTGTCAGATAACTGTTTCCATGGTTGTAAACCATCTCTTGTATTTAGTTCCATTGCTATACTTGGACATAGGCACAAGATATGACATAGATTTGACAGGGACACTAAAAATATGGATCTTGTTTAAATGTTCCGAGTCATGTAATACAAGTGCTAAATATGGCTATGACCCTTTTTCTTTCGTTGTTTTTTTTTTTTTTGGTGGTAAGAGCTATGGCCTATTTTTATGTAGCCAGTGTTTCGTAGTTTTAATGAAGGTTGGTTTGAAGCAAATTGACAAGTACTGGATGATTTTGTTTGCAGCCAGTGGCTTCTACCATAAACACATTGGCAGGCGCATTGTACAAGGTATTTTGTGCATCCCCTGATCCAGCGAGGAAGGAAATGCGCCAAGCATGTTTTGATTATCTCAGCCTTGGAGGCATTTTCTCAAATGGACCAATATCTTTACTCTCTGGTTTAAACCCTCGCCCACTGAGCTTGGTTCTCCACTTCTTTGCGGTGGCTATCTATGGCGTTGGCCGTTTGCTAATCCCATTTCCTTCTCCAAAGCGCGTGTGGATTGGAGCTAGATTGATTTCAGTGAGTAATTTTTAGTTGACAAATTTTTTAGGTTGATTCAATAAACTAAAAAAGGAAAGGCAAACATGAATGAATCATTCAATTACGTTGTAGGTGAATCTCATTGGACAGTGAGGTTGATGTGTCTGACATCTTTGCTGTTTTACATGTCTGTTCATAGTTGCTTTGCTCCACTGGTCTACTCAATAATTTGTCTTTTTGAGTTTCTCATTTGGATAACTTTAATTTACATTTCAGACTTCACTGCTTAATCCACAGCAGATTATGATATATATACATTTTTTGGGCTACATTTTCAGGGTGCATCAGGAATCATATTCCCCATTATCAAGGCCGAAGGAATAAGGCAGATGTTCTTTCCGGTGACAGTGCCGGCATATTACAGAAGTCCTCCTGTTGATTTACATGAATCAAGCTGAAACCACATATAGAATGGAGAGAAATTTTCAAGTTAGTTCCTACATATAGTTTCTGCTGTAGCTCTCTTTCTTTCTTTGATTGTTTGGAAGGGGGAAAAGAAATTAGTTGCAGTTCCATATTTCTTCCCCCAGGTCTGATTAAGAGCAAGAACTGTGGACACTTGCTGCTTCATTTGTATTTTGTTCTGTGAGTTGTTAAAAAAGAAAGTTCCATGAGCCTATATTCCAATTGTAAGATTTGCAGACAATATTATAATACTATGCTTCATCCTTCATAGCCTGTGCTAGATGATGTTTTAGGCTGCTGTTATGGCTTATCTGTGTTCATAAAACTACGGAAGGTTAGTGGAGAACAATTGATGCGGTGATTGATGGTTATAAAATGGATGATAGTAATTGAAAGGGTGGGATTGGAACAATTGCGCACTTATTTTTTAACGTTGTTTGGAGGGTAAGGTTTTGACTCTGGAGGAGAAATGGATTCTGGATCACAAGCAACCAAATTTCAAAGGTTTCGTATGGAGAAATATTTTTTGACTTCTGAGGAGCACCTAACGGTGTGTGAAGATTTGCGACCAGGTCATTCCTTTTTTAAACGCCATCATCGCTAGTGAGCCACCCACCAAAAGGGCTCGCGAACTGGGCAAATTTGGGATTTTATTTGGATATTATTTTGTCATAAAATTATTATTTTTTCTTTAAAAAGTTAGCTCAGTGGAAGTTATATGATTTATACAATTCAATAACTATCAAATTATGTTCCAGACAAAAAAAAAATTGCATATTTTAAGTTTGGTATCAAGAGGTCTGTATGTTTTGCGTTGGTATTATTTTCTTAATTAAAAAAGATATTAATAGCTTATTTCTTGAATAATCAAAGCTCAATAATCTCTTTCTTATTTTAAAAATAAAAGATATTATTTGAAAATAATTCAACATTCGAAGGTTTTTAAAATTAATTTTTAAAGTCAAAATTGAATAAAAAGGATTGGTTTTCTTTAAACTACTAATATATCATATTTTCTTATTTATTCCACCAACATAAAGTGACCATGTCCAAAGTCCGAATGTGAAGATAAAATTAATAAATAGGATTGGTTTTGTGCTTAATCTTTTTTTGTAGTATAAGGGTCTATTTGTTTTCTGTTTTTAAAATTTATTTTTGTTTTTGAAAACAGAAAAATTTAAAAACTTGGTAGGATTAGTATTTTCAATTTAATTATTTTCAAAGCTATTTCCATCTTTTGTTTTTAAAAACAAAAGATAGAAACAAATTCAATTTTTTTTTGTTTTATGTTTCTTATTTTCAAAATATAATATATTTGATTATTAGAAATTACAATTACATTGACCCATTTCTATAAAAAAAATAAAAATCATTAACTGCTTATAACTATTATTATTAATCTATTTTTAATTCTAAAACTGTCTTTAAATTAACATAACTAAACAGATTTTTTTTGTTTTAAAAAATAATTCTGAAAACTGTATTATAAAACAAGTTTTAAAAACAAAACATGGAAATAGAAACCAAACACGCTCTGAGATTCTCATATGTGAAGCAAATAAGAAAAACAGGCTATATGTTGATGGTTGAGAGGCTGAAAACCATGCTGATGAAGCATAAATCACGTTTTGTTGAAAATGGTTACTAACAACACAAATTTCAAAACCACATTAGAGTTTCTGTTTGAATTTTAATTTACATTTGACAAAAATATATTTAGGAGATTCAACTATTTATTAGATTTGGCAAAAGTACAAAACCAAAGAGGCCTAATAACTTTAACCAAACATGTTTTTTCAATCATGTTTAAGCATAGAACCATGGTTGGGAAAGAAATTATGGGTGTTTTTTAATTTCAATTGTCAAATATTAATTATAGAAAAATTGATTAACAAAACATGATAATATTTTGATAACATTTTTTGAAATTGATTTTGATAATTAAATATGTTTGAATAATTTTTTAAAATCAATTATAAAGATGGAAGAAAATAAAAAATGCTTAAATGCTGAGAATTAATTTTTAAATAGAGAACAAAATTATACCAAATGAAATTTAAAAAAATTGAAAGTGTTTGAATAAGAAATTTCAAAATCATGATTTGGAACTCAATTAATTTTGGAAGTACTTTTAACCAGCCTCAATTTCAATTAGAGCTAAGAAATAGGTCAGCTTAACTTGTAACTTAGGGCCAAAAACCTTGTTCCCCTTACTTTTGCCATTTCCTAGAGTGTGGCTTTAATTAATCGGGTTCATAGTTAGACTTGCAAAACCCACATAATATTTAATATAATTTTTTAAGGATAAATGTATATTTTTGCTTTTAAGTATTTCTGAGTGGTACCAAAATCTTAAAATATTTAGTATAACATTTTCACCCCTAAAATAATTAAAATGTAACATTCTTCACTCTTATGTTAAATAATCATAAACATCTGTTAGATACTCAAATTACATGTTCTCATATCATAATAATAGTCAGCATGTATTATTTTGCATCGTGGTAAACAATATTACATTTTGATTATTTTAGAAGGAAAAATACTACACCAAATAATTTTGGATACTAAGTGCTTATCAAAAAATACTTTAAGAATAAAAATATACCTCTACCTTTTTTTAATGGTAAGTTTCACATTATTACAATACATATTTAAATTCAAATCCAAGTTTTAAAGGATCAAATTAAAGTATTTTAAATTCTACATTGAGTAATACAAATCCAAGCTTTAAAATATTATAAAGTCTAAATTGCAAATACATTATGAAATCTTCATCAATCCTCATCTTTGCTATCCAAAAATAAAATATTTGACCCTTCAAGAGCAGGGCGATCATAAGCCATGTGTTATATAGAATTTAATAGGGGCAAATGTGTAATGTCTAGTTTCATATTACTAGAACATGACACACAAGTATAAAACACCATTATGATAGTCAGGATTAATTAAATTTTTTATATAAAATTATTACAACTCAATGGTTAAAAATAGTTTAAAAGATTGGGATTCAATAAAACTTCTTTAAAAAAATGTTTGAACTCAAATAATAATTTAAAATAAATAAAACAAAGTGGCAGAAGCATAGAAATACTAATTTACACAAGTGCAAAACAAAAGAAAGCAATTTGGACATTTGCCAAAATGCTCCATCTATTAAGGAGAATCCTCTGATTATGCAGTGCACTGTGGTTCACTACTGCTGTCATGAACTATCATGACAGCACCTTCGGCCAACTTTTGAAGTGTGTCATTTTGCCATTCAACATTCAATTAAAGGATTCAAGCATTCAAATGTAGCTCATTAAACTTTCTAGTTATTGGCACTAGTTGCATACCCACATATTTTACCATTTAAAAGTTAGACACCTAAACACAAATTTATTCATTTTCCATTCAAAAAACACATAACGGTGTCCAAATCCTTTAACTTGGTGCCAATAACCTAGGAATCACTTAAACTAATTTAAATAGACCACAATCAACTTGATTAACTAGTCATACAATAATAATTATACCTAAATCATGAATTGGCCATTAAATATCCCGTTTCCATAATAAATTAGAGGGTCGGCATCGTCCATGTAACACAATCCTCTTGGCCATTTAAACACACAAACAACATGATAATATTACTTGCACTAATATTGCAGCCCTCTACAAAAATTTCATCACAGTCACCATATCCTAAGTTGAGATACCCACAATTAACAATGTCATATAAGTGAATCAAAATAACACATGTCCCTAAGTTGTCATATTTATGCAATAATTCGTTATAATTCCAAAAAGAAACGGGAAGGGCTATACAAATTGAAGACCTTCAAATTTGAAAAGCCTTAAATTGTGTCAAACTTTAGAATGTAGTGGAGTACACCTAAGGTTATTTTTATCCCAAGAGAGCAAGTTTAAGCAACCAATGACAATTCATAAACCATTTTTATAAGTTAAAAATAATGTTGGTTTTGAAAAGAAAATTCAAGGTTAAATGTGCTTATGATTTTTGAATTTTTAAAGAAAAAATGTGGAATGAAGTGAAATTGATTTAGCTGAACAAACAAGTAAATTGTCCAAGGTTTGAATCCACTTTTACCATAATAGAAGCTTAAATTTAATTCATTCAATTCTTGCAACTCATTTGACATTAACTAAAATGCTTAATTACCATTAAGACTAGGTGATTGTGGTTTAGACTAAGACTAACACACTTTTCTTGACCATATTCTAATACTTAGAATCAATCAAGAATTAAGTAATTAACTTTAATCTAAAACCTAAATAGAAGCTAAATGATTCATATATCATCACAAGAATTTGTCATATTAGCATTTACACAATAATAATTATTAAAATATAAATTCAAATATATAGCATACATCATTTAATTAAAAAGTTAATTTATAGCATCTAAATCTCTTAAGGAATGAAATCAATTAAAAACTAAATCATCAAATCAATTGCAACAATAAGTGAGTTACAGCAAGACAAAAACGAAACGAACTAAACAAACTCAAGTGAAAGTTTCAGAAGAACTCTAAAAAAAAATTCAGCCACTCATCTCGTCCTCGTCAATGACTGATCGAAGAAAACGTCCGTGAAGAGCTGCCATGGATGCTTGCTTGACAAATCCGTGAGTGAATGACATGCGAGTGAACTGGAAACTGAGTGAAGAATCTGCAGTAGAGTGCGAAGAACTGAACCTGAGGGAGATGTGCAATGGCGTGCGACAGGCTGAAACCAAGAGAGCTGTGCGTTCGAGTGTGATGAATCTCCCTGGCCGAACTGGGACTGAGAGAGGATGAGCGATGACGCGAAAGAAGATTTCTGTCTCGTCCGTGCATGCGGTGGCCGAGAAAAGAAGATGAGCGATTGCGTCTCTGTGGCGTGTGGTGGTCAAGCTGTGAGATGAGCGTCCGAGATCTTTGGACCGAGGAAAATGAGCAATCCTGTGCCACAAACTCGTGCAACAGAGAGGAGAGGTCGAAATGAGTGATGGGCATGCGTGATGAACACGTGCCTCTGTTCCCGTTCTTCGTTTTTGTCCTTCCCTCCTCTTTCGTGAATGGCTCCACTGAGAACATGTTGACGTGTGCCTGATTCTGTTTCTGCGTTTTCTTCTTTTCTGAAAAGTCAAAAAACTGATTTAAAATAAAAAAAAAAGACAAAATTACTAAATTGGCCCATTAATTTCTCAAACCACACAAAGTAACTAAAACTAAATTAATATTATGCAATTGAACTAATTAAAGTTTTGAAAATAAAAATAAAAATTACTCAAGTAATAAAATGTGTTAAGAAATTAAAATTTTAAATTAAAAATATTTAATTTTAATAAAATGTACTAAATGACTAAAATGCTTTTAATGTCAAAATTCAATGAAAATGAGCAAATGATCAAATTTAATGTTAAAATCATGAATATAAGGGCCTAAACCAATGAAATATAGTCAAAAATATAAAATAAAAGTGTACAAAATATGTTATTTATTAAAAATTTCAGCCAACTCTTCCTTCTTTTTACTCCTATTGAAGCCCTCTCTTATAAAATGTAATTATAGAATGAGATAAATATATTAATAACAGAATAACTCATATTTATTAATTAATACACACAATTATAAATGGGTAAAACTTATATATAAAAAAATACATTTTACATTTCAAGTAAAACTTATATTATTTTTAAATTATTAATTTTAAAATATTGTACCCCACAATCTAAGATCTTGTCACCGCCACTAAGGCAATTGCTTGAGATGGAGGTACTATCTCAACAACATCAATGTCTTCATTTTCATCATTTTGAATAAATAATTACCAATTTGTGTCATTCTTGTGTTTTAATCAAAAAGTAAGAAATACATAAATCAAATGACAAAATATAAAGTAAAATATTATCATTGGGCATAAAACCATGCAACTAATTACATGGACAAATTAAAATTTACAATTATTCAAAATTTGATGTAAAAAAAAAAACTTAAATGAGTAGTTAGAGTCTAAACTTACTGTTTTGGAATCGAAAATTTGACCTAAAATTTGTTTATACTAAAAAAAAAAATCCCAACTTTCAAGGTCCAATCTTAAATGAGTAGTCGAATTGTTTGTGTTTGTAACTTATTTCTGAGTTCTAGCTCTAGTTTCAATCAACTTGCTAAAAACAAAAAAGTCATGTTTGCAAATCAATTCTACCTAAACAACAATATTAGCAAGCTCAAATGCCCTTACGCTTTTCAAAGAACTCAAGGTCCATGTGAATAGATTTTTGTTCAGGATTTGTGAAAAATTACAGAAAGACCGTATAGAAATAAAAATTTTCTTAAATCGGCACAACATCGACGTTTCACCTTTCAAGATCATGTTTATCTCTCTTTAATTGTGGAATGACGAAAACACCCTCGAGTGACCCAAATCAGCCCTAATCTTTCGCAAGAATACCCAGGATGTTCATCAGCTTCTTTCTTTGCCTGTCTGTGTCTCTATCTGATTTTCTCTTCATCCACTGATATGGCATCGCAGTTTGTGTTCGGATCCGCCTCCTTCGGTCTGTGAGAAGCCATCTCTGCTAATACTCAGGTAATTATAACATTTTTTATGCGACAAAATCTCTTGCGATTTGCTGGTTTTCTCAATAAACGAGCTACGGATTTTGGATGCAATCACCAAATTCTGATGTTTGTTGTTTGAATTTATTCCGCATAACACGGATTTGTGTTGAACGATTTTCTCTTGGCTCTTTTAAATTTCAAGTTCAACTGAATTTTCCCCTTTGTGTGGGTCTTTGTTTTCTTTGTCATTTTAACGTTTACATAATTGCAACTGCTTAAAATATATATAGTATTCCTTTAGTAGCATTCTATTGCAGACGTTCGCCATCAACACATGTCTGTTTCGACAAAATTGGTTCCCCCTTCCCTTTTCCAGTTGTCTTCTTCAGCTCTCTCGATCTTGCAACAAGACAATAGTTAGAAGTTGCAATAAACGTGATTCAGCTATACTAGTTTAATTTCCTTTGGCAACATTTTGGCAGTGATAACTGACAAACAAGTGTACTTCAAAAAGGACGATTGTTCTTCTCGTCTGAAAGTCCAACCAGCATTGCTCTTATTACTCTTTTTTATTGAGTGTCATATGGCTGCGGGATGGCCTGCTTGCACTAATAGTACAAATTTATCTCACGGTACTTTGAATTCGTACTACTTTTTTATGACGTGTTTGAGATGCATAATATCTTTGACAGCTATGTACTAGCAAATTAAGTTTTGATTATCCTATTACTTTTAAAGTAGACTCTTATACTGTTGCTGAAACCCTGGCATATGAGTAGACCAGTATGTTTGTTGAGTTTTGAACCATGTCATCTGCCATACACCCGTTTGGTTTATACGAACTTATCAGATTATACTCAATGGGTTAGAGGCAAAATGCAATCTAAGCTCATGATTTTTTATTTTAATTTTTTATTCTGCTAAATTCTAGCTCCTTTTCCATGTCACATGAACTATGAGTTTGCATTTTGTGCTCTCACTCTTCTTTTCTGGTTCACAACACAACCCCAGCGGTGAGTGGTAAACCCACGTTAGACACTGAAAGCAAATAGAATACTCATTTTTCTGTTCTGCTGGTTGCCATTGACTGATCAACTGTTGATATGAAATGTTTCTTCTCATTTTGGGTGTGCATGGATCTATGACAGCTCCCTATGAATTTCTCTATCTGCATAGGCTGAGAACCATTTATATGGCATTCAAGTTACAAATTGCAATTCCATGCATGTAGACTGCTAGTCCCACTGAAGCCTGTCATTTAAACTTAAGTCTTTACTTCTCTTTAGTTTCTGTTTCAGAAACTTGTTCCTGTGGACTGTGGTTGTGTTGGTATCTGAAATTGTTTATACCTTCGTGTTTATGATGTAACAATTTGCTTAAGAAGTTACTATTTATTATCTTTTTCTGTAGAATCCTGTTCAGTCGATTAACTTTTAGAATTTTTTCTTCCTTGGAAGTAGTTCTGATGTATTTTGATAATGTTATATGGTGAATTATTGCAGGTTGTTTACATGAGAAAGCTTATTTTACTGTGGCTGGTTACATTTGCCAATATAGTAGAGAAAATGGCCTTCTTATTTTTTCCTCCCATCTGAGGGAAGAGGTTTGAGTGGTTGATGTGTACTTCATCGAAGTTTGCACCCATAACTCCACTGCATGGAAGATCACTCATTTGCTGTTGGTCAAGAATTCCCTGACGTTAAAGCATTCCGCAATGCAATTAAAGAAGCAGCCATTGCACAGCATTTTGAGCTTCATATCATTAAAAGTGACCTGATTCGTTACTTTGCTAAGTGTGCATCAGATGGCTGTCCATGGCGCATTCGTGCTGTCAAGCTCCCTAATGCCCCCACCTTTACCATTAGAAGTCTTGAGGGGACACATACTTGTGGGAGAAATGCACATAATGGGCACCACCAGGCTTCTGTTGACTGGATTGTGAGTTTTATCGAGGAAAGATTGCGAGATAATATCAATTACAAACCAAAAGATATTTTACATGACATCCATAAACAATATGGGATAACAATACCATATAAGCAAGCTTGGCGTGCAAAGGAACGTGGTCTTGCTGCAATATATGGCTCCTCTGAAGAAGGATATTGCCTACTTCCTTCGTATTGTGAGCAGATAAAGAATACTAATCCTGGAAGTTTTGCAGAGGTATTTACTGCAGGTGCAGATAACCGTTTTCAGAGGCTTTTTGTTTCTTTCTATGCATCCATATATGGTTTCCTGAATGGTTGTTTGCCCATTGTTGGACTTGGCGCTATCCAACTGAAAAGCAAATATCTTAGCACATTCCTTTCAGCAACTTCATTTGATGCTGATGGTGGGTTGTTCCCACTTGCATTTGGTGTTGTTGATGTTGAAAACGATGAAAGCTGGACTTGGTTTTTGTCCCACTTGCACAAGACGCTTGAGGTGAATACTGAAACTATACCACCAATTATATTTTTGTCAGATGGACAGAAAGGTATTATGGATTCAGTAAGAATGAAGTTCCCTAATTCTTCTCATGCATACTGCATGCGTCACTTAAGTGAAAGTATTGGCAAAGAGTTCAAGAATTCTAGGCTTGTCCAACTTCTGTGGAAGGCAGCATATGCCACCACAACCTCTGCTTTTAGAGAAAAAATGGCTGAAATAGAGGAGGTTTCTCCTGAAGCTGCTAAATGGTTACAGCAATTTCACCCTTCTGAATGGTCCCTAGTACATTTTGAAGGATCACGATATGGTCATTTGTCCTCTAACGTTGAACAGTTCAATAGATGGATCTTTGAAGCCCGGGAATTGCCAATCATTCAGGTGATTGAGCGGATTCATAACAAGCTTAAGACTGAGTTTGATGACAGGCGTTTAAAGAGCAGTTCATGGTTCTCTGTACTCGCTCCATCTGCTGAGAAACGAATGATCGAAGCTATTAGTTGTGCGTCCACATATCAAGTCCTTAGATCAGATGAAGTGGAATTTGAAGTTCTCTCGGCTGATCGCTCAGATATTGTAAATATTGGTAATCGTAGCTGTTCCTGCCGTGATTGGCAGCTATATGGAATACCGTGTTCTCATGCTGTTGCAGCTCTGATCTCATGTAGAAAGGATGTCTATGCTTTTAGTGAGAAGTGTTTTACTGCTGCTAGTTACAGGGAGACCTATGCAGAGGAAATATATCCAATCCCTGAGAAACTTGAATGGAGAAAAACAGATGAGGCTTCCATTGATGACAAAACCCTAGTTGTACGGCCACCAAAATCTCGGCGACCACCAGGGCGCCCTGAGAAGAAAAGAATTTGTGTTGAGGACCTTAATCGAGAGAAGCATACAGTGCATTGTAGTCGGTGTAATCAAACTGGACATTACAAGACAACGTGCAAAGCGGAGATTAGTAATAGTAGAACAGTTTTAGGTGTCTGACTTTGTACTCTTGGGTCACTTGGACTAGCATGGTTAGCTTCTAGGGACGCAAGTTTAACGATATACGCATTACTTTGGCTATGTAAGAAAGTTATTCCATTTTAATCAATCTGCATGTGTAAACTAAAGTAACTTTGAAGATTGGCAGGTTTGTTATCAAAAGCCATAATGGAGATGGAATATGTCAAGAATGAAATAAGAGGGTTAAAATATCTTCCCAAGTGCCTTTGTTACAAGAAGTATGATTCGTTTGTCTTGGCCAACAAGTTTTTAAGATTCAGGAACTATTCCCGTGAATAAGGATTGGGTTCAAACATGATTGTCTGATACAACGCGCACGCATTATATGTAGGCCTCGCATGTTGCCAGGATACTTGGGCATGGCAAATATCACACTCAAAAGTAGAACACAAGAACGTCCAAGTGCAGAATGAAGCAATGCAGAGAAACATAATAAGGATAAACTTTTATACATAACCATTCATAACGCATTATAAGATATTATTTCAAGAGAGAGTTAAGCTTGAAACCAATGAGATAACTTAAGTTCAACTGTATAGCTCCTTCAATCTTCTGCAGGCCTCCAAAATATTTTCCCGGTGACCAAACGCGCTTACCCGGATAAAATCTTCGCCACCAGGTCCGAAACCACTGCCAGGGGTTGTAACCACAGGGGCCTTCTCAAGGATCTCGTTGAAAACATCCCATGAGCCCCGTCCAGGGAAATGGACCCACGCATATGGTGCATTTTTCCCTCCATATACTTTAAAACCAAGAGATTCAAATGTCTCCACTATTATGTTGGCATTCTCCTTATAAAATCCTATGACCTCTTTCATAGCCTGCATCCAAATTTAGCGAGTATATTGCGTAACTTCTCCCAAGAAGTATTCTACAAAAGGCTGAACCAGATTTCCCTTGTGCTCCAAGTAATTGAAAAACAAGGGTCACCTCAGAACCCACAAAATTTTCAAGCAAGTTCTGTTTCTTCCTTGATAAGGCAAGCTATAACAGTTTGTCATTAGCTACAAAGGATCGTGCTATATGACATGGCAAACCTGTTGTTTTATCTTCTTTTTAATTGGGTGAGACTTGAGAGTGGTAATTTTTTCCCTAGTGTATAAAGAATTGTATACAAAATGTAACGTTTTCAGCAAAATTAGCATACTAGCTAAATTATGTAGCATTCTTTCTTCAGAAACTGGCGCAAAAATAATAACTGACCTTGAGGCCTTCTGGTGAAAGGCAAGCCAGACCACCTGCCTGGGAAATATTGGATGCCCCATTGAAGCAAGTACTTATAATTCGGCTGAAATCCTTGGCAACAGGAAAACCATCAGAAAACAGTAACTGCTTTGGAACCACAGTCCACCCTAGTCTAACTCCAGTGAATCCGGCATACTTGCTAGATGATGCAGTCTCAAGCGCAACCTGCAATGCCAACAAGGTTCCATACACAACATTATGACACAGAAATCTACCAGACCAGGTATTCAAGGTTAGAAACAGCTTGCTGACTGAACCCTATTACATATTAGCCTACAACAAAAGCCTAAGCCATCTTCTACAAACTATTTGGCCAATAGTTTCTTCGATGGAGTTCTTGCTAGACACCATTATCCCATCATGTTTAAGAATTTTCCTTATAAAGGTGATTAACAACCAAGCTGCTAAAGTAATATGGTGGACACAACCGTGAGACAAAAAACACAAAGCAAGTATGCCTACGCTGTTATAATTTGAAGGTCTAGATTGTGGTCCAAAAAAAAAAATTTGAAGTTTTAGATAATGCAGCAACAAGCACAACTCAATTGGAATATGACAATAAGAGTCCATCCAATGCATTCTATGATAACCAATTAATATTTTATAATCAGAACTATGTAACATGTTGATAAATCACAATGTGAGAAATTATAAGAAAGAGGGGATAAGATTGAACATAAAGCTCGGTAGCCTTTGAGAATTAGTTGTTAATTATACACAGACCTCTTTGGCTCCTGGAATTTCAAAGATGGAGCGTGGGCTGTCATCTGATATATACATTGCATATGCAGAATCATACACTACTATTGACCCGTTATTCTTAGCAAACTGAACTAGTTGGCTTAGTTGCTCCCTTGTTGCTACAGCACCAGTAGGATTGTTTGGTGAACAGAAAAATATTATATCCGTTCTTGAAGCAGAGGATAAATCAGGGAAGAAACCATTTTCAGGACTACACCACATGTATTCAATGCTTCCATACTTCTGAGCATCCTTCAGGTATTGGCCAGTCTGACCCATAATAACACTTGAGTCTACATAGGCCTGCATCAAGAGTTCAAACATATGTAAAATTCAGCCACAAGTTATTTTGTCAGCAATCATTTATACAGCATATCAGGACCGAGAGGACTGCAGAAGAATATAAAAATGATTCCCGCCGAAGTTTGTGAACCAGAGACACCAATAATTACCACATGTTTACATGTGTCATGTTTTCAAATCAAGAGCTGTTTTTCTTATACAATGGTTTTTTCTAGTCAAATCAAGAACAGTAAAATTTCAAGCTCTTCCTGATTTTTTTTTAAATAAAAAAGTAGACAATGGCTAATCAAACCATTTTCCATTGCATCAAAGAGCATGACAACCAAATGAACGAACTGAAATCAGTCAGCACCAGTATGGAGCAACAATGGGGCAATGGTAAAGAATAAAACCATGTTAAAAGCAGAAATGGCATGCATAAGCAACTGTTAATGAGATCATATTTAAAAGCAAAGCATAACATACTGGATATGATGGGTCTTGCACTGCCATCGTCACATTCGAGCCAAAGACAACCTGTAGAAATAATAGTGAAAGAACTAATTGCAATTAGAAAGAACTTAGTCACTGTTGAAAGCTCCCCATTAACATCGACCATGTTAAGAAAGTAAATTATTGACAAGGGGAAGAAAAAGTAAAATCATAATCAAACCTGGAGGCGAGATATATCACATTTTGATCCATCTGAGACAAATATATCATCTTCCTCTATGCCAAGATCAGTGTAAAATGTTGAAGCAATTGCCCTTCTTAATGGCTGCATAGATTAGAAACACTTGTCACTCTTCAAATAATATAAATTTCTTTAATATACGCTTCAACTTAAATGAAAATCTAAATAGGGTGACTATATGATTCCATTATCAAATGCCTTCCATCTTTATCTTATTAAGTTCCTGAAAGAACAAACAATAAGACTTGCCCGTAGGATTGTATTTGTGTTCAATTACTGTACAATGATAATGTTCTCTAGCTATATCAGAGCAATTTTATGATCAGAGAAAACAAATGATATTAAAAACTTCAAAAGAAATCCAGATGCTTTGCTAATTTTTTTCTTGGTTTAAGTGAGAATTTATGGTGGAATACACAACTTCCAAACACATTAAGGCACAAGTTCAATAGCCATCGACAAAACTTGAGCTTATTTTTCCGTTTTTTTAGATAATCAAAACTTGAGTTTAAATTCACCAAGTGCTTATAAAATTTCTTGCCAAAAGATTTTTTGGATAAGAAGCATGCTTATTTTATAAACTCATTTTTCACTTGACACTTCAAAAAATAATGCCCTAATTTACACCAGATAATAATGCATGGGATGTGTTTAGCTGAAAATGAGAGAAATATTGGTCTTCCCAAACTATCAGCATGAATAGAAATCTTGGCATGGCCACAACGTGCATTTGATATGTAAGAAAAAGCACTGATAATGCCTCTAGATCAAGTCAATGTGACATACCTTTTCACCTTCGTATGCTCCATAACCACTATAACCCTCGATGGTAGCTAATGAATTTACTTTCTGAGGAAAAATACTTTGACGCTCAGTTAGCAACAGGAAAAGCACTGGTTTTATTTGAGTAACAAAAATATCACATATCATAAGTGTTTTCTCTTGAATCAAATAGGAACATTGTATACAGCATACCTATATCACAAGTAATTTCAAAACTTAATTACAATCTGAAAAAAAAAAAAAAAATACTCGAACAGAATCAATAAAGAATGGAAGGGATTATACTAGTCCTTGCTGCTGAGAAAGTAGAGTTAGCACAATGAAAAGAAGCACTTGACAATTACTTGACTTAACCTACTTCTATGATCCACACATAATTATTGAACAAGCTCCAACTTTAATAGAAAAAAGCAGTCGCTTATAAAAAGAAAACAGAGTTCAATGAAGCATCAACTTCATATAATCAAAAGCTGTACCGTTGCCATTGCAGAAGTTATGACTTCAGGAATGGGTTCAGTAGTATCACCAATTCCCAAGCTTATCACTTTTGAGTCAGGGTACTTTAGCAAGAGTGCAGATCTTCTTCTCGCAACCTATTCTCCACAGTAAAATTGAGGATAAATATTCATTCAACTAAAATAAAAGTTGGAAAGCGCCATGTTACATATCATATTGGAGTCAAATGAGATAAATTAATTTTCAAAATTCTGGTATAAAAGCAAAAAATATGCCGTGGCATTACAGACCTCTGGAAAGAGATAACCAGCTTGAAGTTTAGCCATGTTTGCATTTCGAGAGACATTAGTCCTGTAGCCTTCGACATGACAAGGGGAGGAATCATCTTAAATTCTAGACAACGAAGATCATTTGTTTACACATGCTTTATATACATTTCTCCAAGAAGTTCTAGTAACTAAATAGTCGATTATTTCGACAGAGAAGACTGAAAAGAAAAAATTGGGAGCAATTATATAGTTAAACTTTCAACTAGAAGGATTGCTGGCTGGACCTATTCATCAAGAACACAAGTACTCGAACTTATAGCATGGGGTTCAATCCCAGAAGTCAGTAACAGAGTAAAGAAATGAAGAAGCATCTGCATGCAATTACTTCATAATCACATTGATATAGGGAAGCAGAGAAAGCTACAAAATAGAAAAGGCTTCAGGGTACCAGTCTGCGATTCTTGGGGTGCAGCAACGCATTTACATACACCCAGGCTTTTCGCTGGCGAAGAGACATTCTGACTTCTGAAATAGCCAGAGAAGGAAAAACAAAAACTTAAGTTTAAACAGAAGAAAGTTGCACAAAGTTTAATCAATACCCAACGTAGGCTTTTTCTGGTTAGTTTGATTCCTCTTGACAAGCAAACAAATGACGAGAAATGAAATGAGAATCAGAAGCGAAATACCGCGTATTGAAGTTCGAATGATTCAAGAAAGAAGAGAAAGACGAAGAATAGAGTGGAGTAGCCGTGGGGTTAAGGATCACAGACATTCTCGAATGACGGATTTCCGGAGGCCATAGTGGTGCTGTGATCTCTCTATTTATAGTAACGTAATTTTAGCAGCCCACGTCTCTTGATAACTTTTCGAAAGGGGAAATGACGTCTATTGGACGTGTTTTGGGACCGTGCTCGTTTGCTATATGCATGAATCACATTTAAAATCCGAAAAAAAAAAAAGAAAGAAAGAAAGAAAGAAAGGAAAATGACAATTAAAAACCCTACAACACTGTTAATTACAATTAAAAATCCTAAATTATTGAAATACTATAATCTTTACTTGAAATTAAAAACATATATTAGCTTATAAATATATGTTTTTAAAATTAATTTTGAGATACTGAAATTACGATTATGAATTGAAACTATTGTTAATCTTAATTAAAAAACTAAGATTTATACTTGAAAATGAAATTAGTAATAGCTCCAATCCATAATAATAATTTTAATAGTTTCAGTCTATAATACTTGAGATTCTTATTTTCTCAATTGAGATTAATAATAATGTAGACCTATGATAATAATTTCAACAATGTCTTTTTTTCTATTTTATAAGTGATTTGCTTATATATTATCAAATATAAAAATTCATAGGTGATTGATTTCATACTCAAAAGTAAATTTTCAAGTAACTATACTATATTTACAAAGTGCCTTCAAAAATTTTACAAGTAAATTTTAATTTTATACTAGAAAACAAACTATTTTTAAGTGTAGATCTTAGTTTTCTCACTTAAAATTAACAATAGTTTAAATCATTATAATAATTTCAGTAATATATTTTCTTAAAATTTTCTAAGTGAGATCAATTTTATAAACTTATAGTATATGTTAGTAATTTTAAATAAGAATCATGATTTATTATTGTGATTTTAATAATTTGAAATTCCTAATTATAATTGATCTTTGGGATCCTTAATTGTCATGTTCCCTTCTCAAAAAGTCAAATCATACCTCATTTTTAAAATTCCGTGAACGCCTACAACTATAATTTATGGTTCTATCTATAAGTTTTCATAGAAAAAATGTAAAATTCATTATCATTAATTTTATCTAAAAATTAAGGTACCCTCATCCCCCAATTAAATCTTTGCCAAAAAAAAATCCTCCAGTTAAATATATATATATATATATATATTTATATATTACACCTTTGATAAACTTCCTTACATTAAGTTAATATAATTTTTTGTATAATTTAAATGGTAAAGTATTATTACTATTTTTAAGATTACCTTCTAATTAAAATTAATTTATATTAATTATCTTTAATTTCTTACTCTCTCCTTACAATATAATTAATAAGAGTATTTGGAAAAAAAGAATCCAATACTATAAATTCTTTTTCAAAATATCTTAAATTTTGAACCGCCACTAGCTGATAAAAAGTGCCTTACATTTTATATTGGAAAGGAATGAAAATTTTGGCTAAATGCATCCTTTAAAATATTTCCTACTTTCCTACATCTATATTAAATAAAGGTTAAAAAAATTAATAAATAATTAATGGGTGCTGTATAAAACATCCAGAGGAGTATACATATATATCTGCGAGTCACTCCTCCAATTTTATTTGAACCTTTTTTCTGTCATATTAAAGTATATATTCTCATACTCTCTTCAATCCTATTTATGAAACACTTTTTAAAAGTCATCTTTAATTTAAAATATAATATATTTTATAATAATTAAATTACTTTTCCAATTTTATCATTTTTTATTAATGTAAAAGTATTTAATATAGTTATATTATTATTTAAAAATTAAGGGTGAAAATAAAAATGCATCTCACTTCTTTACAATAAAAAAATTAAAAAATATCTTATTTTTAAGATATAAAAAATAATTTTTAATACATGTAAAATAATTAAAAGTTTCTTATAATAAAAATTGAATGAAGTATTATATATTGTTGCTTTCAAGAAATGAATTCGTGTGAAGAACTCGCGGTGCTTCTGTATTCTTTTGCGTGAGTAGTTCATTAACTGGCATGGCTGTCTCTGGAAATTGGGTTGGAGAATAAAATAAAAACAAAAAAATAATTTTATAAATATAATATTTTTATTAGTTGAACAATGCAGCCTGGGCGCAGAAAATAAAAACACTGCAAGCAATTCGTTTCGAGATCATACTATTTTTAAATTAAATATTGAATAATGGATAAGGACCGTGATGTGTAACGGAAGAGAAACTTCTTCATTTTTTTCCTCCATTTCCCTTACTTTCCCACTTTAATTATTTATTAATTCTATAATTTAAAAAAATTCATTTAATAAAATAATATGAATAGTTGAGATGAAAGAAATAGACTGAAATGAAAAAAAAAGAAGTGGAGAGAATCAACTAGAAGATGCATGCTGCTAGTGTGGCACACTGCACACATACCCTTTTAACTAGATGTGAAAATAAGCCATCCTCCTGTGAAATATATATGGCCTAACTTACCTTTAAATCCAACCTAATTTATTATATTAAAAGTTAAGATATAATTTTACTTTTAAAAATTATTCTCAAATAAGCATATTATCCTAAAACTATTCATTGTAGTAATATTATCTCTAAACTAATCAAATCGAAAGCAAGGTGTCATCACTGTTTAAAAATTATAAAATTAAATAAAAAATAAAATTATAATAATATTAAATAAAAGAATATTAAATGTATATATAAAAATAAATATAAAAAATATAAATTATAATTTTATAATTTATCAAATCTAAGTGAATCTTGGTTAAATTAGACATGAATAGACTCAAAAGTATTTAATTTTGCACCTATAATTATCAACATCTTTATAAAAAATAATAGTCTCAAATCATAGATAGTATATATATATATAAATTGTTCAAAAATAAAGGTAGTTTTTAGTAGGATCAATTTTTAAATTTTTTTATTTTTTAAAAAAATTAATCTTTTTTTAATATTATATTTAAAATTATTTGGTTTTCTAAAAATGGCTCCGGTTTCCTATTCAACTTTGATTTCTGGCTTTAATAATATCTTAACTCTTGTCCAATTTAGATCAATTATGAAAAAATAGCTTTTTGGTCCAAATTGAGTTGTTAATAATGGCTTCGGTCAATAGTATATGTGTAAAATAAATACTTTTGAATCTACTTATATTTAATTTAATCAAAATTTATTTATATTTGACAAGTTATAAAATATAATTTTAAAACATTATTAATTTACAACATTTGATTAACATACTATAATTTTTTATATTTATTTTATATATACATTAATATTATTTTATTTATTTTTATAATTTTTAAACTGTGAAGGCAACATTGCTCTTTTGAGAATAATTTAGGAGCAAAATTTCATCTTAACTCATAGAAAGTATGTCTCATTAGTTATAGTAATAGATATTAAAACAATTAGGGCAACACCGCTCTGATGTGATTAGTTTATGAGCATATTACTATGATGAATAGTTTAGAGTCAATATTCCTCGAGAATAGTTTAAAGATAAAATTACACATTAATTTTTTATTAAAAAAAATCTAGGTTTGGCTAAGGTCGTTCGTTAGACCTATTTAATTAAATAAGTCAAACCTCTTTTTACAAAACATAGCCTATAAGCCTAACAAGTATATATATATATATCTATATATATATTTGTCAATTTATATACTTAATATCTTTTATCTAATCAAATTAATACATTTTTAATATATTCATAATATTAATAAAAATTTGTTATAAATTCAATAATTTATAAAAAATATACATGTCTTGATTAATTGGAATCAAGTACTTTAATTATATAAATTTTTATCTATTATTATTATGTAATATATTACATACATATCAATTTTATTATTTTATTTTTAACCAATCTATTCTTATTTATTTCTATTTATGTTTTCAAGTAGATTAGATTTATATATTGATTTTAATATTATTACTATATTATTGTATTGTAGTTGATAAGTTATCTTAATTATTATATATTATAATTAATAAATCGATTAAGTTTAATATATATATATTATATTATATGTAGACTTTAATAATTTTTAAACATATTTGGAATATTTAAAATTAATATACTAGCTTATTAAAAAGCTTTAAATCTCGTTGGTATGAGTAAATTGAAGAATGAAAATAGAATTGAAAATGAAATTCAAATTTAACTTATTGGTATGCCATATTTTGTTTTGAAGTTGGATTGTCTTTACTACCATTCTTCTCAATTTCCTCTCTATTATTTTAAAAAAAATATGAGCTGTTTAGATTTGGTGCATGTGAAATTGAATGATCCAAATTTAAAGTTTATTTTTATTATATTATATTTGATATACTTATAACTTTTGGAACCTTCAATTTAAATTGGATTGTTTTGATTGGTGATAAATAAATTTAATAAAAATTTAATTTTTATTTTAATAAATATAAATAAATACTTTATATCTGAACTATTTAAATTCAATCTGTACCAAATCTAAATAGTTTATATTTTATTTTAGTTAGTGAAGAGAAAAAATAGTGGAGACAAGCCGTTTGTTTCAATCCAAAACCCTGTTCACCAAAAAAGTTAGAATTGGCTTTCATGGTCCGTACCTATGAAAATGGCAGTCAACTTTACTCCTCCGCATCTTTGCTCCTCTACACTTAGGATCAAATATAAACGGTTTATTTTTATTTTAAATTATATTTATTAAATAAAAATATTTATAAAAATTTATAACGATATATTATAATAAAAATTTGATAGCACAATCTAAACAATTGTATATTTATATTAAGGAAATAAATATTTATAAAATATTTAATAAATCTACTTATTTTAGTTTTGATATTATTGATTTAATTTGAACAGTTTAATTTAATACTATAACTCTTTTATTAAAAAATATAAAATATTTTTAACTGAATCTCACCCTTCAATAAAGTAATTATTTTACTTTTTAACTAACTCTATTTTCTATATTTATCCTTATTAATACCTTACAATAAATATAAAAATATTATTAATAGAGATCTTTAAAAAAAAGACAATAATTACACAACAAAATATTAAAAATA